CCAAGCCATTCGTTTTTATTTTAGCTTTATGGCTTTTCTAAAATTATTGAGAGGTTGAAATTTAGCTTTGTTGTCAAGTCCTAAGTAGGGGGAAATCCCACATATAACATTAGGATCATCCCTAGAAGACTGTAGGGCCTAGGGTTATTTAAGCAATACAGCCAACCAGGATAATAGCACTTGAAAGGAGGTTGGGCTATTGATATATTTCATGGGTCCTTGAGGCTTTGGTTAGAAACAGAAGTTTGAAATTGAATTGTAACGATCAGAAAAAAGAGGTAAAGTATAGGACCATGTGGGGCTAACAGGGACCTTGTTGCCCTACCCAGGGGACAGCCCAGTCTGCAATGGTAACAATTGAATCACTATGGCAACACCACCCAGTCGTTTTAATTTTGGTCATGGCTATGAAGAGGCCAGATGGATGCTATTTTAGTTAACAGTAAACTCCTGGGTTTCTGTTTTCAACTCAGTTCAGGTGTTGAGTCTTGATTCTATTTCATGGCTATAACGTATCTAGAGACAAGCCAGGATTGAGCCCTGTCAAATGTAAGCATTACTAAATGAAAGATAGTGCTTCCTTGGGTACCTGCTCTGATTTGTTAATCCTTGCTTCCACTCACCTCTCATTAGCCTGGAACACCTTTCTCCTTGGCCACCCAGCCTGGGTCATCAGTGCAGCCTGCCAAAGCACCCAAACCAAAATGACCCTGTGCCTTGTCTAAGTCAGTCCTGCCTTGTAGCTCCACGTACACATAAGACCTCACTGGCTGTTTCTTGTTCCGTTCCATAGCAGGCCACTACTGCTTTGAAGAAAATGTGCAGTGAAAACCCCATTGACTTTGAACCTGGAGATGTCCTTGTCCTTTTTTCCCAGTATTGGGTTGGCTTATGAGGCTGTACCCCATCCAGGAAAGTGTGGGTGGGAATGAAGCAGCCAAAGAACTTAGCTTTTTCCCTGTTTGCTTGGGATATGGATCCAAAGTCTTAATATTGAGTTCGATTTTTAATAAAGGGAATTTTTTCCCTAGTTTTTAAGCTATAGTTAACTCCTTTACTGTGACTCCTAACCCTTCAGATAGCCAAACACATTGATAGAAAGGAACAGATCATACAGTCCCATGACTCGCACTGAGTTAACTCAGTGCCCCATGTGAAATAGTTACTAAAAGTTAAATGCCAGTTCTCTGGCATTTGAAAGTCTTCAGAAAATTCCAGGTATGCTTGTGAGAGGACCTTAATCTATGATGAGTACTACAGCAAATATGTAGACTGTGCATGGTCCTGATTGAAAAGAAACTAAAATATGCCTAAGGTGCCGGGTGAACAAGACCCTGGAGAGATTGAGCTGAAAGTGGCTTAGTGTAATTTAGTCTAATCTACTGCTCTTATTCTTTCACAAATGACAAGAATACTCTTTTCCTTTACAGACTCTACCATGGAAATGCAGATGTTAGACTTTCCCATAACTAGTTAATGGGGGGAGATTAGGGGTCTGGCCTGATACTGATCACGTTACCAGATCCATCTCATCCATTTCCTAAGGCAGAGACAGCTGTGGTGAGTTCAGGGAACTGTTCAGCTTATCTCCTTCATTCCTTCCTTCAGAGGGTTGCCAGCAACCCTGACTGTGGAACAGTCCTCTTTAGATTTTATTTTCAATTCTTAGTGTGTATACTTTTATGCTGTTTGACAGTCAGATGCTTCATGCACAGATATAGCTGGTAAGGGCCCACCTGGCTGTTTTTTTCTCTACATAGTCTGTCCTCTTTCAGAGGTAGTCGTTTATTCTGGCTACTCTCCAACTGTGGCTCCATCTATCTCCCTTGTGTCCACCCGGCACAGGTTCAGAAAACCCTAAAAGTCTCCGTCGTGACCCGAAAGGCTGCGTTGGTGGAGGGGCCCAGCTTTGTCTGCCCTTCCATGTTGATTGTATTATCACTGCTTTTGGCAGAAAGCATTTGACCACATTCTTGGCGTTGGTCCCTATGACTATTGCCAAAGTGCTTTGAGTGGCACCTCTATGGGGAGCTTCAATCTACCTCCATCACCTTTTAATTATAACCTTATGAATTATGCATCCATGAAGATGCTAACCCTATATGTAAGATGTACAATTTTTTTCTATCTCATTTTCTGTAACATAGAACTGCTAATGACAGTGTCCCCACCCTTCCTTTTACTATTGGATTGATTCCTTGGTATTTTTTTTTTTCTGGATATCTATAGGCCATTCTGAACAGCATGAGTAAGAAGACTGAGGCAGGTTGTGGAAGGGAACTCCTTGTTTAGTACCTACTCTCTGCCAGGACCGTGCTAGACTAGACATATTTTCTTTAATCCTTAAAACCCTGTCTGAAGTGTCTTCTCAATTAAGGCTCATAGAGGTTGAATCATCAAGAGTCATATTCTTTTCATGGCATCCCTCTGGGAACAGTGTAATATGATATATATAGTTTTTGTCTACATGCAGTTATTGCATTTCTAAAACTGATTATGGGAAAATGTTGGATTATTACCAGACCACATAAAATAGAAACCAAATTTTCCACTTATCTCCTTTCTCTTTACTCAGAAGTACACTGTTAGAGTTGCTGGTTTTAAAGTTGAATTTACCAGAGATGTGTCCACTAAGAGCTGGACTTAAAATCCTTGGCTGTGGCTGTGTTCATCCTGAAATGGAGATTCAGGGGTCCTAAGTCCTGTTAAGGTCAAGACTGTAAGTTGAGTGAACTTTAAGCCTTGTCAACTGGTCAAAACTAGAATCATCCATCTAGGGAGTAGGAGACACTAGAATTTATAGCAAACTGTTGAGTTACTGATTCAATTCATTGTGCACTGGTTAACTCCTTTATTCAAGTATATACTGGGCATATATTTTGTGGCAGAGTCTGGAGCTATGAAATTCAGACTATCTTGTTCCTAAGACTCTCATACCCTGATGGAAGATGGATTTGTAACCAAACACATACCAGAAGTAGGTTGCAGATTCACCTCTTCCCTTCTTTTGTTCTTCTCCCTTCCCTCTTTTTCCTCTTCTGCCAGTGGCACCTGTACCACTTTCTTTTGGTAAACCTCCAGCATAAAGAAATTTGCTATGTGGAAGTACTAACATAGTGGCAGTTACTGCATCCTGGAGGAAACCTCAGTAAGATCTGGCAGCTGCTGCCAGACAGTAGGAAGTCACATTCCTTCTTCCTGTCTAGTGGGCAGGCTGTTGAGAGTCAGCCAGCCAGCAATCCAGTCACCTTATCTGTTTGTCTATGATTTCCTTAAATCTTATCAGATGTTTTAAAAAATGAGATTAAATTTTTGGAGAATCCAAAAGGTATTTGGGAATCTATCAATGACTGAAATTTTATGTCAATAACATTAGGTTGTTCTAGGATTTTTGGATCCTCTCAACGTTCTTAAGTCAAAATATGAATCACCTCTTCATCAAATAGAAGGTGTGCAGGTATTTATTTTCTGCACTCTGCTGACCACCTAGGCCCTCAATTTCTCCCATATGAGGAGACTAATCTAGAGAGATACAGATTAGAATAAGCACCCTTGTATCTGATCTTCTTTCTCTGTTCTTCCATTCTAAAATCCTAGGAGAACAACCCTGGGGTCATAGTGGGATGGCAAAGGTCTTATTTTTCTAGATAAAAATAATATTTTCACTACCTTTAGGAAACAATGGTGCTTGTTTTCCAAATTCTCGCTGAGGACTTTTATTCAGGATTTTGTTTAGTCATCCAGAGCAAAGTCTATAGGAGCTAAGCAGGTGTGGGAAGGAGGCTTGCCTTAAGAATAAGTAGGTGATTCCTGTTAAATCCACATGGACAATGTGGGCTGTTGGTCTCTCAAGAAAAATCAACCCTAGAGAAGCAAGAAGGAAGAGTAGAATCTGGGAACTTAAAAAACAACTGAGAAACCCCTGGGGAGAGGCAGTCCCCGCTGGCAAATGTGAGGTAGCTGGGAGTGGTTGTGAGAAGAAAGCTTTTTGGTTCTGTTCATACTTTCCCTCTACATTGCCTGGGGACTGTCACTGCCTGTCCTTTCCCTGTTGGAAATGAGAGCAGCAACCCAGCCCCCAGTGAAGGCTAGATACTATCAGGGCAGCGAACAGACAGAAATCCCTGCTGGTGTGAGGAGTTGAGGAAATAAGGAGAGGACTGACCAGCCACCCATGGGCAGTCCTGTGTCTACTCTCTGCCTCTAAACCCAGGGGTGGGGGCTCTGTAGATCCTCCCAAGACCATGTTTCTCTAAGAGTTGGAGGGTGACAATTGCCTGGTAGAGATATCAAAGATGGTCCTGTGGTGCCTGGGCTTCTTCCGGTGCTCATCCTTTAGGCTCAACAGAAAGTCAACAGAGGAGAACCTGACTCTCAGCCCTTCCCAGGTCCTATTACCAGGCAGGGTAGCAGATACTCCCAAGGAAAAATCCCACAGTCTCCATACCTGGACACTTGAAGAGTGCCATTGCATAAAAGACCTCAAACCAAAAACACAAACCCTCTGAAACAGAACTATTGGAACATTGGTCAAGGACTTAAAATAGAGATGATCAATAAACTTGAGATATGGAATGGTGTTAACAGCATGAAGCAAGAGCAAGAAATCAAAGAACTAAGTAGAAATGTGAAAAAAATACAGATAAAGAGCTTAAATATAGGATAAACAATAGTCGATATAGCCGAAGAATGAATTGATGAGATGAAAGAGCAGATGAAAGGAACAGAAAAGTATAAAGAAAGCATGAAAGAAAATGTAAGATGTGAAAGATGGCTCCGATGCCTGGGAGACAAAAGGGAAAAGCAGGACTATGGCTGATCAGAGAGGTGGCTAGGCTTAGTGTGGCACGATTGTCCACAAAGGCGTTGTTTGGCTTGCATATAATTTAGGAAAACTGAGACCAAAATTATAAAATGGAATTGTTGCTTCTGTTGGGGGAAAAGGAAAATCAAAAGACCGCCACTAAAACCGAATTTCTTCTTCCTACTCCATCCTACAGCCCACTTGGGTATGTGATATACTTGACCTGGGAAGGACAGAAGGTTTGACTGTGCAGATCCCTCATCCAGACTAGGTAATGTCTCTCTAAAGTTATTGAACTAGGTAAAACGATATTAAATGACATCCCCCAAATCACAGTGAACAATGCACAACTTTTGAGTTTGGAGAAGGTATCCTGTAATCCAACAAACAGCTGCCATGATCCAAGAATGATTGATGATAGGGGTGGGGAGAGCCCTGTGGTTTCCAGTGGGCAACAGCTCTGGTCACCCCTACTTAGGCACTTCTTTAGTGGAAGGTGTGGCTTTCAGAATATATGGGTAGCCAGGCTTTTTATTTTATCGTTTAAAATCCTAAATTACCTGACGGATGGCTGAGGTCTTAATGTCTGTATATTTCATGGGCCTTTCATCCTCTGCTGATAGCTGTCTGAGGGCAGCCCCCAAGTGCCTTTTCCTGGTTTGGAGGAAGGAGTGAGTAAAGCTTGAGACAACACCTAAATGGCTACTTCAGCCTTAAAGGGGAAAAAGAAAAATCAAAGTCAGCTTTTTCTCAGTGAGTGAGTGGCAGGGCAGAGATGAGAACACATATAGGAGCAGGCCCTGTATTTACCAATAACTCTTCCCCCAGTGCTGGAAGCAAGAGGCTTAAAGAAGGGCTGGAGGAAAAGTCCCTCCTCTCCTGTTTCCAATGACCCGGCAGTCTCTAAATGAGGCAGTGTTAACCCTGGGGTCCATGGGAATAAGCTCTAGGGGGTCAGTGAACTGCCCAAAATCAAAGGTAAGATTTTGTGTGCATTTTTCTGGTGACCCCAAGTTTTACCAGATTCCCAGAGGTATTTGTGAAACCAAAAATGGTTAAAACTGTAATTCTTTTTGGAGGTCATGAGAAGAGTAGTGGTCCTAAAAATAGGAGAAAGAATGGAAGCTTTTTCTTCATCTACTTTTTATCCTTGCTTAATGGAAGTGCTGTTGCCTCTCCACTGCTTTCGGCCACCTACGCTTGTGGATGGTCTTGTAGGGCAACCTGACAAGCCTAGATGGTTGGTTTAGCTGTAAGCAGTGGTGAGTTGAGTTCTTAAATAAAGGAATGTCATTGGATCTAAGAAATTTGAGTGCTTACTCTGCACCAGGCATACTTGTGAGCACTGCATGTGTGAATCATTTTTATCTTCACAGCAAACTAGGAATAGATACTACGATCCTCACTTGAGATGATGAAAGGCAGCAGGGTTCATTCAGATGAGGGCAGTCTGCCCTGCCATTATTGAGGTCCAGTGGGAGTTTCCCTCTTTAGAGAGGGCCTAGAATGCAAAGAGGTTCCTATGCTACATAAACTGCTTCTTCCTCTGCTCCAATGACTTTAAGGAAAATAAATAAATGCAGCTTCTCGAGTTCTTCTGGGATGCCACTAGATGGTGGTATGCCAAAGGCTATTTCCTACTAGGGCGCTAACCATCAAGGAATGCATATAAATTTTGCTCTGGAGTGTAAAAATTTGCCTAATAGTTTGAAAGAAGAGCTCTAGGAGTGAGCTGGGACCCTCCTCTAAACTCTTCTCCCCACTCCCACTTTGCTCCAGAACAGTTCAAACTGAATGTTTCACATTTTGACTAAATAATGCATCTCTTAAATAATGTATCTTGCCTGCCTCTGTTGCCTGGCCTAATTCTGGGTTTTCATCTGCAGAGCATCTGCACCAGGTGTGATGACAGCATCCTCTGCAAGTTGTAAAAGTTGCACAGTGATGGTAAGGAATTTTGTCTTGACATCTTGAGGATTCCGTTACAAAGTTCTTAGGTTCTAATGCATTGAAGTGTTGAGATGCACAGTAGCACAGAGCCCACAAGCATACGTTGAAACATTTTATTGCTGAAATCAGTAATAAGAAGAACATTGTGACCCTTTACACATCCCTCTATCGTCTACTTTGTCCTCTTAAATGAAATCCTGCTGTTATCAGTAGACCTCCTTGCCCCCGCCCCCCCATCAAATGTAGGTACACAATCAAAATGTATTTTGTATCACTGGGAGCTGGCCCTTTTCAAGGTATATGTGAGTACCACAGTGAGACCAGAGCAATCTCATTCAATTATGAATTTTTTTTTAAGTAGTAGTACAACTTTAATGGCTGTTGCTATTTCTATGGGGCCTTAAATGTATTTTTATTGCACTCTTTCCAGCAGTTAGACACTGAAATGAGTCTCTAGTCTACAGAGCCTCATCTAAAATCATATATAATTCACGTGCTAAATGGCTAAACTGGAACTGTGCCTCTTCTCTTACATGGGAATTTAAAACAATAAGGTTATTAAGTGGTCAGATCCTCTTGCTTCTCATACAGACCTGACGAAACTGACCCACTGTCTTGAGCTGTTTGTTTCTAGAAGAGAACTAAAGGCCAAGTATGAATCATTGTGTGTGGTGTGTGCTCAGGGCTCTTTGCAATTCCTTTCAGAGCCATAGCAGAGTTTTTGATTAAATGGAAGACAGTCTCAATTTTAGCATTCCTGTTTTGAGGCTTCCATTAATAGAACCTGGGTTATCAGATGACTCAGTTTCCAAGAACCTTGCCTTTGAAACACAGATGAGCACTATTATGACATAAAACTTTTACATCTACCAGAAAATATCCACCATTCCATCTTGCAAATGTGACGATGAATATCAAAGCTTTCCTTAGCTAAGTATACTTTTATTTGCTGTTTTTGTGGAGCAAACTGTGCCACTGGACTTCCTATTAAATAATATCTAGAATCCTTAATGTTGTCTTTGTGTGCTGCTCATACATATCCTCCTAAGAGCATCTACTTTCAGATTCCTCATCTTCCAACCTGTTGTCCCTTGTGCTGTTGCAGTTGCTGAGTTGAGTATCATTTCATGGCCACATGTTTTTTTCCCCTTGTCCCTAAAATCCTCTCCCATTCCACCCTAGCCTTTCTACTGCATTTAATAATATGTCCTTATATACGTATGACTCCTTCAATATACAGTGGAATGTATTCCAATTTACATAAGTGGTTCCATATTATGGATCTCTGTCTTTCTACTCAGTGTTTTTTTACGATGTATGCACAGCTATGTGGATATATTCATGGCATTTAATGGCAGCATGGTGTTCTAGAATATTCACCCACCACATTTTCCCTATCTGATCCCCTAGTGATGGTCACTCTATCAGTTAGGGTAATATTAGCCAACAGATCAAACATTATAAATTTATTATTAGAAGTATCAAAACAGTTATTCCCAATAGCAGACATCTCTCTTCTAAAGCAGAGCTTCAGGGAACCAGGCACCTATCTTGTGGCTCTGTCATCTTCAAACCAAGGTTTCCGGTAATTATAGGGAAGGAAAGAGAGGACTAAGGATTTGCACCTGGGAGGATTCTCTGGGCCATGCTTGGAGGGAGGCAGATCACCTCTATCATATTCCATTGACCAGAGCTTGGTCACAGGCCACTCAATACCAGAGGGGCTGGAAAGTAAGTATAAATGGTATTGCTTTTTAAATTTCAGTTTTTCAATCATATATAGGCATACAATTAATTTTTCAATGTTGACCTTGTATCTTATGACCTTACTAAATTTGCTTGTTAGTTCTATTAATTGATTTATAGATTCTTTAAAATTTTCTTCATAAGCAGTCATGCTATCTGTGAATACAGAAAGTTTGACTTCTACCTTTCTGATTGTTATGGCTTTTCTTTTTCTTACTTTGTTGCAGTGGCTACAATTTCTAGTACAGTGTTAAAATAGAGATGGTGAGAATGGATACCCTTGCTTGTCACTAACTGTAGGGGGAAAGCATGCAGCATTTCAGCATCAGGTATGATGTTAGCTGCAGGTGTTTTGTTGATGCCTTTTATCAGATTAAGGAAATTCCCTTCTATTCCTAGTATGCTGAGTTTTATCATGAATAAATGTTGAATTTTGTCAAATGCTTTTTCTGCTTCTATTAAAACAATCATGTAATTTTCCTTTATTCTGTTAATATGGAGGATTTTGTTGGCCAGTTCTTAAATCTCAAACCATCTTTGCATTCTGGGCATAAACCCTATTTGTTCACAATGTATGGATTTATTAATATTTTGCTAAGGAGTTTTCATGTATATTCATGAGACGTATTAGTCTGCAGTGTTCTTCTCTTTATCTTCTCTTTATCTAGTGTTGGTATTAGGGAAATGCTGACTTCATGAAATACATTGAGAAGTGTTTCCAACTCTATTTTTTGAAAGAGTTTGTGTAAGACTGGTGTTATTTTTTCTTAAATGTTTGATAGATTGTGGTAATGAAACCATCTGGGCCTGGAGTGTTGTTTGTGAGAAGAACTTTGATAATAGTCAATTTCTTTAATAGACAGAGGCATTCGAATTTCTTATTTCTTCTTGCATCAGCTTTAATAAGTTGTATTTTTCATGGAATTGTTAATTTCATCTAAATTGTTTAATTTATTATCATAAAGTTGTTTATAATATTTGCTTATCCTTTAAATATCTCTCATTCCTGATATTGGTAATTTGTGTTCTCTCTTTTTATTTTCTTAACTAAGATAGCTAGAGGTTTATCAATTTTGTTCATCTTTTATTAGAAAGAACTTTTGATCTTTCTTTCTCTATTTTTCTATTTTTCTCTCTTGTATCTTGTCTATTAATTTTCTCTATTTCACTAATTTATTCTCTTATTTATATTCTACTTGCTTTGGGTTTACTTTGCTCTTTTTTTCTAGCTAACATTGAACTTTAGATTATTGATCTAAGATCTTTCTTCCTTTCTAAAATAAACATTTGTAGCTATAATTTTCTTCTGAGCCTCTAAGCCCTGTTTTAGCTGCATCCCACACATTTTAGTGTTTTATTTTAATTATCAATTAGTTCAAAATATTTTATAATATTCTTCAATTTCTTTGACTTGTTAGAAGTGCGCTTAATTTTCAGATATTTGTCTCTTTTTCTATCTATCTTGTTGATTCCTAATTCTGTTGTGGATAAAGAACATATATTGTGTTATTTTGATATTTTGAATTTATTGAGACTCAGATCATGTGCTGGACCATAAATTATCTGATAAATGTACCATGTATTCTGTGTTGATTGGTGGAGTATTCTATGAATGTCATTTAGGTCGAGTTGGTCCATAGTACTTTTAAAATCTCTATCCTTACTGATTTTTGGGTTTTGGTTAGTTTTTTCTGCCAATAACTGAAAGAAGAGTGTTAAGTCCATAGACGCAGTTGGGGATTTTGTCGTTCTCCCTTTTAGTCCAATCATTTTTGCTTCATGTACTTGCAAGTTCTGGTATTTGGCTTCTACATATTTATGATTGTTTTCTCTTCCTGAAGAATTGACCATTCTATAATTTGTTATGTTCCTCTTTATTGACGGCAATTCTTTGTGTTAGAGTATCTTATCCAATCTCAAATGTGGCTGCTCTAGTTTTCTAGTTTCCTTTTTGCATGGTATATGTGCTTCCATAGGCTTAATGTAAACCTAATCTATATCTTTATATTTAAAGTAGGTCTCTTGTAGATAGCATGTAAGTATGTCTTGTTTTCTTAACCAGTCTGACAATCTCTGCCTTTTAACTGGAATGTTTAATCCACTTACACTTAATGTAATTATTGATATGGTTAGATTTATGTCTGCCATTTTGCAAATTGTGTTGTTTGTCTTTTTGCGTGTGTGAGGAAGATTGGCCATGAGCTAAAATCTGTTGCCAATCTTCCTCTTTTTGCTTGAGGAAGATTGTCACTGAGCTAACATCTGTGGCAATCTTCCTCTATTTTTCTTTTTGTATATGGGACACTGCCACAGCATGGCATAGGGCCACGCCTGGGACCCAAACCCACGAACCCTGGGCCACTGAAGCAGAGATTGTGAATGTAACCACTATGCAACTGGGCCAGCCCCTATTTTGCCCTCATTCTTGAAGGGTATTTTGGCTGGATATAGAATTCTAGGCTGACAATTTTCTTTCAACTTTTTTTGTTTGTTTTTTTGCTGAGGAAGATTGGCCCTGAGCTAACATCTGTGGAAATCTTCCTCTTTTCTTTCTTTTTGCTTGAGGAATATTATCCCTGACTTAACATCTGTGTCAGTCTTCCTTTATTTTGTATGTGGGTTGCTGCCACAGCATGGCTGATGAGTGATGTAGGTCTGCACCCAACACATGAACCCAGGCTACTGAAACAGAGCATGCCAAACTTAACCACTTGGCCACAGGGCCAGCCCCTCAGCACTTTTAAAGATATTATTACACTGACTTTTTTGCCTCCATTGTTTTCTGATGAGAAGTCAACCATAATTCCTAATTTTGCTCCGCTGTATGTAAAGTATCCTTTTCCTCTGGTTCTTTCAAATTTTCTCTTTATCTTTGGTTTTCAGCAGTTGACTATGATGTGCCTAGGTATAGTTTGTTTGTGTTTAACCTGCTTAGGAGTCACTAAACTTCTTCATCTATAAATTCACATTTCCCACCAAGTTTGGAAATTCGTTCTATTATTTTGTCAAATATTTTGTACCCTGTCTCTGTCTTTCGTCTTTTTGGGACTGCAATCACACCAATGTTAGACTTTGATATTTTCCCCAAAGGTCACCTTTTTTTCTGTCATCTCAAGTCTCCTGTTAAGACCACCCAGTGAAATTCTGAACCCTTCCATCAGCCAAATCACCCTAAAACACTACTCTCACTGTGTAAGTCTTTTGTCTAAGAATCTAAAGTATGCATTTTATTATATGTAAATTACACTTCT